CTCAAGAGAAATTTTGGGGCTCTGTTGTGGTTGTTAAGTCAAGGACTACTGGTGCAGGTGGTCCTCAGCTTACAACAGTTCATTTAGTGACCGAAGTTACGACGCCACTGAAAAATAAAACAGGACTTAGGAGCGCTTTTCACGCTTACGACCGCTGCAGCCTCCCCTCCTGGTCACAGGATCAAAATTCAGACGCTTGGCAACTGACTCGCACTTACGACCTTTGCTTTGTCCCAAGGTGGACAACGGGGGGAAAAGCCCAGATTCACTTTAACAACCAAGTTGCTAGTGTCAACCAAGGCCTTGGCTTAGTTATTGGAGACCTCCGAAGTTCTTCCAGACCTTCTTTTTTTTGGGGGGGGGAAGAGGGGGGGAGCTTTGAGGGGTCCCAAAGCTGCCAACCTTGCAAAGCCGGATGTCCAATCATAAAACATTTCTATGATCTTTTTAGAGTTGCCAACAGAAAGGGAGCAGCGCGGCAGCTTGCAAAACCGAAAGTGCATTCCACACATGTTTTCAGAGATTGTAACCAGGTGACCGAAGTTTCTGCCATGCAAATATCTAACTGGAGAGCCTGATTGATGACTCTGGGCTATGGAGGTGTCCCATTGGAGAATATGAATTAGGACACACCCAGGGGTGGGAAAACCAGGGTCAAGGGTGACAATGAATGATGTGTCTCAGAGCCGGCTACACCCAGGCAGTGCCGGACATGTTAACGCCCAATAAATCCTTTGGAAGTTTTGGAAGTTTGGCTCGAGACTCAGGATTTAATCGGGGGGAACTACCGGAATCCTGACACCTAGCTTATCAATAGCAGTGATTCCCTTAGCAAGGAAAGGCCATAAAACAGGGACAAAACTCCCTTAACCAATTTTTTTTTTCATCCGTATTAAAATTTTCCATCCGCACAAATCCTGGGGCTCCCTTGTAGGTTGTTAAGTCGAGGACCACCGACGTTAAACACGCACGTTTTTCAGTATCTTTCTTTCTTTCCCAAAGGGCCGAACCGGGGCCCGTTTGCCGCTTTTTTTGGGGGGGGGGGTAAGAAGCCAAAAAAATTGCCTACTGTGCGGAAGTCCTGCTCAAATTTATACGCTCCGCCTCCAGTGGCACACAAGGTGGTGTGGAGGCTCGAGAAATGTTTCTCGCTGCCCATCTGGATAAAAGCGGGCATGTCGTGCGTGGGGAAGCGAATAAAGTGCAGATTGCCTTTGCGTCCACACAGCGTGAGGTCTCTGAGCTCCAGGTGGACGTCGCGAAGGCCGGTGGAGCCGTAGGCCGTGTTGGAGGTCAGGTATTTGCGGATGCTTTTCAGGCTCTCCACTTCTTCCTCCTCCTCCTCCGTGGTGATGTCTTTGGGCTCGAAATAAACCAGCTTCACCAAAGTCCCGCCAATGTCCAAGCCGAACCAAGGGAAAGCTGAAGAAGGAAAGGGGGGGTGGGGGAATAAAATACATGGTGTCAGGATTCCCGCAATTCCTCCCATTTAAATCATGAGTCTCGAGCCAAACTTCCAAAACTTAAAAAGGATTTATGGAGAGTTAAAAGGTCCGGCATTGCCCGGGTGCAGCCGACTCTGAGGCACATCATTCATTGTCACCTCACCCTTAATCCTGGTTTCCCCCCCTGCACCCCCTGGATGTATCATAATTTATTCTCCAATGGGACACCTCCATTGCTCAGAGTCATCAATCAGGCTCTCCAGTTAGAATTTTGCAAGACAGACACTTCAATCACCTAGTTGCTATCTTTGAAAACATTTATGGAATGCGCTTTCGGTTTGCAAGTTGCCGCACTGCTCTTTCAAACCTCCCCCCCACCACTTCCTCTTTCCGTTGGCAACTCTAAAAAGACCATAGAAATGTTTTTATGAGTGGACCCCTGGATTTAAAACATGGCACCGGGAGGTCCTCGGCCAAATTTCTGTTGCGAAGCGAGGCAGCGGCTAAGGGAGTCTCGCTCCATTTTGTGACCTTTTTGGCCACTGGGGTTGAGTGAATTGCTGCAGTTGTTAGCAATACGGACGTTAAGTGGACCTGGCTTCCCCATGGACTATGCTCGTCAGGAGGTTGCAAAAGGGGATCACGTGACCCCAAAACACTGTCGCCATCATAATAGGAGTCAGTTGCCAAGGGCCTGAATTTTGATCAGATAGAAATGCTTATAAATTTGATAGAGATAAGAGATAGAAGATAGATGATAGATAGATAGATAGATAGATAGATAGATAGATAGATAGATAAGATAGATGATGGATAGATGATAGATAAGATAGATAGATGATAGATAGATAAGATAGATGATAGATAAGATAGAGATAGATGATAGATAAGATAGTAGATAGATAGATGATAGATAAGATAGATAGATGATTGATAGATAGATGATAGATAAGATAGATGATTGATGATAGATAATAGATGACAGACAGACAGACATGGTAGGTAGGTAGGTAGGTAGATAGGTAGATAATGGATGGATGGATGGATATGACAGGTAGATAGGTAGATAAGTAGACAGATGATAGACAGGTAAGTAGATAGGTAGGTGATAGAGAATGATAGGTAGGTAGGTAGGTAAATGACAGATAGACAGATGATAGGTAGGTAGACAATAGGTACGTAGGTAGATGATAAGATAGAATGGATTGATAAATACAGGGAAAGACATAGATGATGGGTGGATGGAAGATGGATACATGATGAATACATACAAATGGATGGATGGATGGATGGAGATGGAGAGAAAGAGAGAGAGATACTCTCAATTAATACTCCATGAACCGAAAAAAAAAAGTCTAAAAACAAGTATACTAGCCAGGCTAAGAAAATATATCTGGGCAAATCTTGTATACGCACATATACATGGCTACCCTATATTACTCCCCTCTGGGATCAATATTGCACTTTGAAAAAAGCAAAAAAGGCCCACACTCATCAGCTAAAGAAAATAAAGGTACAAAATAAAAGGAGGCGCTCTTACTCTGGCATCGAACTCATCAGCCTCGGGATGGGAAGAGAGCGACTCTACCTTGCAGGGTTGTTGTGAGTTCTAATAACCCTATCACCCCACCAAGACTTCTGTACCCCGAGGCTCTGCTCCTGAGGCTGCAGAAGGCCGGGGGAATCCCCTTAAAGGCTCCCTAAATTTTTCCATTGAACCCCATTACTGAGCTGCAGCTTTAAAGAAAAAAATTTTTTTTAAAAAAAGCAGGACGGCTCCGCCCCTTCCCTTTGGGCCCCGCCCACCCGAGCGCTCCCGCCCGCGCCCTCTAGCGGCCACTCACGGGGGCGGCTCTTGCGGTGGGAATCGAGGCGCGGCCGGGGGGCGGGGCCAACGCGCTCTTTCTCGCGGCTCGCCGTGGCCTCCGCCCTGCTCGTCCCGCCTCCGCGCCGACGGCCGCCTGAGGCCGATATCCGCCGCCGCCGTTCCTCCGAGGATCCTCCGGCTTCGCTTCCCGTCTCCATGGCGGGCGGCGGCGGCGGCGGCGGCTCCTCGTCAGCTTGCCACTTGCCACTTCCATTCTGCTGCGGCTCCATACGCCGCGGCGACAGCAGCCAAAGCGGGCACTGCGCCTGCGCCGAAAGTCTTTTCCTCGCCTTTGCCTTTCCTCCCTCAGAGTACGGGGCCTTCCAAAAAAAAAAAAAAAAAAGGCCAATCGGAAGCATTCGCCTTTTGCGGCGACAGATAATCCAGCCAATAAGAATGAAGCGAAGCGTGCGGGGCTGGGATGAAAGGGGAAGCCTTCCAATGAGCATCCGTCTGCCTTGGATGAGCAACAAAAGGCCAAAAAAAAAAAAAGCCTCGCGCGCAAAAAATGTGGTACTGAGGGTCAGGCCCGAAGGGGCGGGACGAATAACGGAATCGCCGTAGCCAACCTGCTGTTTCCGCAGGGGAGATTGACAGTCGGCCTGCCCAATGAAAAAAAAAGGAATGGTGCTAGGGGCTGGACTTGAGAAGATGGCCAGGCCCGGGTCTCCATGACTACCTAGCAGGGAGGGAATTTGCTGTAAGAAATAAATGCAAGCATATTAATCGATGTGCAAGTATAAGCTCCTTCTATGTGTGTGCCATTTAGTTTGGGCTTCTTTATATTTAATACAAATCCCATCTTTTTCATTCTGCTCCTAGATTTTTATTACTAGACTTGGCAGATCCTTTGCATTTTAACCTGTCAAAATATATGGTGATAACTTTGTCATTTTTTTCTGTGAGCATACTGGACTGCATTAAAAATGAAATCCTCTTGCCTGAGAAAGTGTATATTTACATAAACACATAACACACACATGCACATGCTATGCACATACATATTATACAGTACCTACACCATATATAATGCATATATGTGTATGAATATACCCACACACATATATACACATACATGTACACACACACATACATAAGTGTATATCCAAACACATACATACCCACATGACACATATGCTATATACATACATACTTAACACCATATATATGTATATGTAGATATATGTATATATGTTATTTGGCCCCATGGAAAAGAAAACCTAAACAATTTCCTAACACACCTAAACAGCACACACCCCAAAATCAAATTCACCATGGAAACGAAAACAAACAAACAACTACCATTCCTAGATGTACTAATCTATAAAAAAAACCAGATGGCACACTAGGACACACCATATACCAGAAGAAAACACACACTAACTGCTACCTCAACGCCCAATCCCACCACCACCCAGCACAGATAAACTCCGTGGCCAAAACACTAATTACTAGAACCAAACACCTGGCAGACAAGACACACATAAAGACTGAACTATGCACCCTGACTAAAGTACTGACAGCCAACGGCTTCCACAAAAGCAAAATCACCGGCTTGATCCACAAAAACACACTGAGACATAATGGAGACCTAGAAGATGAACAGACCTATGGAACAGCTGTCCTGCCCTACATAAGAGGTACTACAGACAAAATCAGTAAGATACTGCACAGGCACCACATCAAGACTGCCTTCAAAACAGACAGAAAAATAGCAGCCATCCTTAGAAACCCCAAAGATAAAATTGACCTGGAAAACCAAGGCATATACAAAGTCCCCTGTGCATCATGCCTGGGCACATACATTGGACAGACCAATAGAAGAATAAGTACACGCCTGGATGAACACAAAAATGCAGTCAAAAAGCTGGAACACACTTCCTCACTAGTCCAACACATGAAAGCCACAGGTCATAGCATCAATTTCAATGGCACCAAAACCCTAGCCACTATAGAAAACCCCAGCCACAGAATCATCAGAGAAGCCATAGAGATTGAAAAAAGACCTGAAAGCATGAATAGATGATTCCACCAGACTGTCAATTATCTGGAAGCCTGCACTCACAAACAAAAAAATATCCACACCACAAGCCAGGCAAACACCTGGGCACAAACAGATCCCCCGATACCTCCAGCTCAAACACACCCCAACCAGGCACCCAGATGAAACCTAGCTTCCTAACAAATGATAGCCGTCCATTTACTAGGAGCCAAGCTGCACTAAAAGCCTCCAATACAGGAACACAATGTTGCCAGACAATCAAGACACAAAAAAAGCCACAAAACAAATAGAAGATATTAGAAACACCAATCAAGCAGAACACAGCAAACTCCAAGACCAATAAACACAGACCAAGACTCCCAACAGCAGTAGGCTAGCCCCAAATTTAAAACTGAAATGGCTGTGAAAGTCTGACTCACAGATGAACACAATACAGAAGCCTGATGATGGCAGATGAGATTCTGCGGAAACGTTGCTACAACTTTAAAAGCACAACTATAATGACGTGGGAAAATAACCAAACAAAGCTGAATACCATACATATATGTACAAATATACACCTCAGAAAAATATATATATATATACACATATATACACATACATGTACATACATACATGTGTATATCTACCCACATACATACCCACATAAGACACATACACATGCTATATACATACATATAGATATATGTACATACATACACATATATATATAAGTGTACATATAAGTGTATATCTACCCACATACATACCTAAGACACATACACATGCTATATACATACCTACCTACACCATATATATATGTAGATATATATACGTACATAACATATTCACATATATTTACATGTGTGTGTATATGTGTGTATGTATATAATATACATGTATATTGTATGTATTATATGGTACACGTGTGCATGCATACATAGCATACATATACATATACATACATATACATACACATATCGTCAGCTTTACTGATATTTCTTCCTGAAGTTTTAAAATTATGTTCATCATCTTCTAATCCAGCTCCCATATAAATTGAGTAAATATGGGGAAAGTATACAGACAGGCCTCACTGAGCCACTGGCTCAGATAGCGACAGTTTGCAGAGGGCGATGAAAAAGTTGACTTTTGCAACCAGTCTTGCCCCGATATCCGCAAAGTAAAGGAAACCCGGTCCTATTTTAAGCATACTTGCAGTTTCGCTTAGCGACCGCTTCACTTAACAATCAAATTGCAGTACACGTGGGTTGCCAAGCTCCCAGGTTTTGATCGCGTGACCCTCTAGACGTCCTGTGATGTTCATAAGTGCGAGGACTGTAAAACAATTTCTGCAGTGCCGCTGTTAACTTCGACCGGTTGCTAAATGAATGGTTAGAGGCTGAGGAAGCCTCTAGGTAAGGGAAGATTTTCACATGTCAAGTATGATTGTTTAATCACCTAAGTGCATTACTTTACCTGTTAATTACCTTACCTGTTTTCCTTAATTGCACCGGTATAGTGACCCAACTAAAAATCTGGCAAGATACAGGTAGTCCCCAGCTTACGACCACAATTGAGCCCAAAATTTATGTTGCTAAGTGAAAACTTTGTTTAGTGAATTTTGCCCCGTTTTATGACTTTTCTTCCCACAGTTGATAAGTGACCCTTTGGAGTTGATAAATTAGTCACCCGGTCGTTAAGTGAATCTGGCTTCCCCATTGACTCTGCGTGTCAGGTCGCAAAAGGGGATTACGTGATGGGACACTGCATCCATCACAAAGGTGAGTCAGTTGTGAACCATTCAGATATAAATCACGTGACCATGGCGGTTGCAATGGTCGTAAGTGTGAAATGTGGTCATAAGTCATTTTTTTTCAGTGCCATTGTAACTTCGGTCGCTAAGTTAACTTGTTCTGACCCAAACCTGGTTCCAAGGAAACAAACACGAGACAAAGTTAACAGCACAACCTTTTAATGTTTCTTTACGAATTCTGTTCCCTCCCTGTTAAAAGGCTGTTTCAAACTAATTGTCCCAGATAAAAACGAGCCTTGCCAAGGTGGTGAGAGGCTGCCAAGAACACGAGATAAAGTTGCCAAGAAATATTTCAAACCCAAAGAGTCTCCAAACACCAAGATCATCCAAACGTCCACCAGGCTTGAGTGCAAAAACGTCTTTGCTTCCTGCAAAGAACTCCGGTTTCTCAGCTGGCTTTTATCCTTTAACAGAGGGGCCATCACCTTTCAGCCTTACTCCTGAATCACCCATGCTGCTGCAGCTGCTCTTTCCTGAGAGCAGGCCTGCACCTGGGCACAGGCTCCTCGGGGGCCTCCTCCTCACTGCTGCCAGCCTCCACAAGCTCCAAAGGTAGCACTCCACTCCCTGATGGTCCTGGCCCCATCCCTGCCTCACACGCAGGCCCCTCATCCAAGTCCTCACTCTCCAAGACCTCAGCTGTCCACACCTGCTGCCGGCAAACCACAACACTTAGCAACAGAAATTTTGGGCTCAGTTGTGGTCGTAAGTCGAGGAGTACGCATATCAGCCGTTCATTCATTCACCCCTCCTAATTTTAATGAATTATATTCCTTCCCCCTGATGACAATTTGACCTGGAAACGTAGGAAATGTTTTCCCTTTATTTCTGTCCACATTAAGAAAGCCACTAATTTTTTCTTTTTTAATTATTTAATAATATTTTTGTATTTGGGGAGTGCATGTGGATTTTTTTGTTGTTGTTTAGAAAGTTTTGTTTCTTACAAGCCTTCCTTAATCTTGGAAATTGCAGCGGATAACTTACACAACAAACTCCATCTCTGATTTTCTACAACTGGATTGCAGTTGAAAAACGTATTTAGAATCAATTAAATAGCCTTTTTTTCAACTTAAGGAAACATGCCCTCTTGATGTAGAATACTCACGGCTGCAGCATGAACAGAATTGCTTTCTATGCATATCCCACACTGTGTGTACCTGCTTACTCTCTTACAATCCTATTGGCTCCAAACTTTGTCCGGAGTGTTATATAAGGTCTCCAACTTGAACAGGGTTGAACTAGCCTGCCTCTCCAAAGTCCCTTCCGATAAAATACATTTACTGGGGAACAGGTTTATTAACTGAAGGGTGAGTATACACAGGTAATTAAAATTCTTAATAAAAATATATATTTTGAAAAGGACCAGTATGCACAGATAGGACATTAAAAAAGCACTTTGATGAGAGCCAGCGCCTTCCGCTTGTGCAAGGGGAATTTCACGTGTGTATGTGCTCGTTTGCCTGCTATTGGTGTGAGCGGAGCATCCATGTGCACAATCTTGACCACTTTTTCCCGCAGCCCAGTTTCAAACAGGCACATCCCAGTAGGGATTGGGGACACCTATGCTTTTTATCCTGGTGGTTATTCTAAAAGTCAACGTGACACACTTATCAATTAATCATCCATACAGTCCATCTGCTGTAGAAACGTGGAGAAAAGTTTGGAAACGCTTGGACTATCCATATAGTTATGGATCCAAATCTACATTCTTTCCAGCTCAGTTCATATAAACGCACTGTCATAAGATTGTTTTGACTGGCATAATGGCCATAGACAGTGATGGGACTCAACAAATCATAAAATCATACCAAATCTATCTTAATAAAGTTTTATAAAAAATAGTATCAAAGAAAAAAGAAAAAGAAAGTATATATTCATTATATCCTAAGTTTCTAAATATTCTACTATTATGTTTTATTATCTAACCATTGATAAAAAAGATCCCAAACTTCATAAAATTGTTTATCTTCTTGTTCTCTAATTTCAAATGTCGATCTACTCATTTCAGCACAATCCAATATTTTCTTAATAGTTTCTTCCTCTGATGGAATTTTCTCTCTTCCAATTTTTAGCAAATACAATCCTAGCCGCTGTTAATACATTTACAATCAAATACTTCAAATTTTTATTATATGTATCAGGTAAGATTCCCAATAAAAAGATCTCTGGTTTCAAGTCTATGTGTTTCTTTGTCATTTTTTCCAACCACATGCGAATTTTAGTCCAATGTTTTCTAGCGTCCTCACAAGTCCACCACATATGGTAATATGAGCCAGGTATCTGATGAGTTCATATAAACGCACTGTCGTAAGAAAGATGGTTTTGACTGGCATAATGGCCATAGACAGTGATGGGATTCAGCCGGTTCACCAGCGGTTCAGCCAGAACCGATATTTAATATATTTTTGTTGTTGAGTTTGACGAACCTGTTACGATAAATCTGTTTTCTGGAATATGTCTGGTTTTCATTCAACTTCCTTCCAGGTAGGGAAACACCCCCACACACACAAAGTGCAAGGGAAGAGCGACAGAAACCAAACGGAGTCGCGGCACTTTCAATCACATCATCGGGTGACAACTGTCTTACTTTACAGCAGGCGGCAGGGCCGGGCCTGTTCATAAGGCAGCAGCTCAGGGTCAAAGCGCCAGCCGAGGGCCAGAAGGTTGGGGAAGACTCTGAAGCGAGAGGGTCTCCTGCCTGCAATGCCTATACCAGCTGCCCCCTTTCTGGTCAGGGCTGGAATGCCACCCTGTTTAAGTGCCGGTAGATACCAGCCTTCCCTCTGGTGGGCCTGGGCAATTGCAGGACAGAAACTGGTCCGTTCCAGCACCTGGCACCCAGCACACGCTCTCAATTCCCCCCAAAAAAGATCTCGCAAAGTTTGAATTGATTGAACTTTGGTTTTTTTTAGGCTCACAAACTTTTGTTTCCCTGCACACGACAGTGAAAAATGCCATTAGAGCTGGAAATCGGGTTAGCAAAGAAATGCTTGGGGGAAATGAGGGCATCTGGGCGGTGGTGGGTGAGCCAAGGACCCCAGTATGGCGCTGGAGAAACAGGGAATGGAACAGCCGGCGCAAGAGGAGGAGGAGGAGGAGGAGCAGGGAGAAGAAAGGGAAAGCAAGCCTCCTCAGAACCAATTGTTAAATTATTTGAATCCCACCCACTGGCCATAGATAACTCACCACGGTAGTTTGTGAGTTATGATTTGGGGGTGGATATGCCGGGTAAAATTATTGCCTCGTGAATTGGTAAACGAGTTGAAACAAGTATGATTGTTCCATGAATTCATGAATAAAGCGGCTTATTTTACCTCTCACACCAAACAAACATCCGTGATTTTTTTTAAGTTTCCTACCGAAATGGGAACAATACCTGTTGCTGAGATTTCAAGGAACAAGTCACAGTGAGTTTGTTGATGGGGGGAAAAAAAAATGTGGTTTGAAAAAAATATACAAATGGAATACTTCTTTGGGGATCCATCAAAATCTCACAGAAAATTAAGAATGAAAGTACACGATGAACGCCCGTTTCTAAATCAATACTTTGGGTGAATTTAAGTGACAATAGTCAAAAGATGGGGGACTGTGGCCCCTTTATTTACGGCTTGTGGACTTCAAC